AACCTTTTAATACTAACTTAGAATTCTGGGGAGTTTATTCATAGCAGTGCTCAATGGAAGAGCACTGGGTAAGCATACAAAGCTTTTTTTTCATAGCAGCATCTTTGTCGAGGCTACAGGAAATCAGTGTGTGGCATTGGCAGGACAGAAGGAGAGGGGCTGGGAGATTTCCCAGTTGTTCAGAGCAACTTCCTACCCACCCTCCTCACTTTGTCAGTGCACCCCACCTTTTTAAAATATATTTTGTTGATTTCAGAGAGGGAGAGAGAGGTAGAAACATCAACAATGAGAGAGAATCACTGATTGGCTGCTTCCTGTGCATCTCTACTGGGGATTGAGCCCGCAACCCAGGCATGTGCCCTTGACTGGAATCCTGTGGTCTGCAGGCCAACGCTCTGTCCACTGAGCCAAACCAGCTAGGACTGTGTGCCCCTTTTCCAGTGGACTCTGGGTGTGAGATTGAGGTGTGCATGTTTGTTGTAGGAGGCGGTGACCTTCCAGGACGTGGCTGTGGTCTTCACGGAGGAGGAGCTGGGGCTGCTGGACGCTGCCCAGAGGAAGCTGTACCGGGACGTGACGCTGGAGAACTTCTGGAACCTGGTCTCCGTGGGTGAGGACGCCTCCCTCTGGAGTGTCTTTGTGACCGTGGGTTTAAGGCTTTGGAGCTCCTGGAATGGCTCCCTCATTTTGGTTTACTGGACTTTTGCCAATTCCTGTGGGACCCAAGAGGATGTTGCTCGTCTTTTTAAATAGGATGTTTCAGATTTTTTTCATTTGTGTTTTATAGAAGAAATATAAATGGTCAGTCTGCTGCTATACCTCTTCTATATTCTTTTTAAAATTTCACTCCTAGCCCATTAATGAATTTTTTAAATAAGTCTTTATTGTTCATTTTATTACAGATGTTCCTCTTTTTTCCCCCATAGCTCCCCTCCACCCGACCCCCCCCCCCCGACCCATACCCCATGCCTTTATCCCCACTACTGTCCTCATCCATAGGTGTACGATTTTTGTCCAGTCTTTTACCGCACCCTCTACACCCCCTTCCCCCTGAGAATTGTCAGTCCACTCCCTTTCTATGCCCCTGATTCTATTATATTCACCAGTTTATTCTGTTCATCAGATTTTTTATTCACTTGATTTTTAGATTCACTTGTTGATAGATATGTATTTGTTGTCACTTTGTTGTTCATAATTTTTACCTTTACCTTTTTCTTCTTCTTCCTCTTCTTAAAGAATACCCTTCAGCACTTCATATAATCCTGGTTTGGTGATGATGAACTCCTTTAGTTTTTTCTTATTTGTGAAGCTCTTTATCTGACCTTCAATTCTGAATGATAGCTTTGGTGGGTAGAGTAATCTTGGTTGTAGGTTCTTGCTGTTCATTACTTTGAATATTTTTTCCACTCCCTTCTGGCCTGCATAGTTTCTGTTGAGAAATCAGCTGACAGTCGTATGGGTACTAACTGTTTTTCTCTTGCTGTTTCAAGATTCTCTCTTTTTGTCTTTTGCCTTTGGCATTTTAATTATGATGTATCTTGGTGTGGTCCTCTTTGGATTCCTCTTGTATGGGGTTCTCTATGCTTCCTGGGCTTGTAAGTCTATTTTTTTCACCAGGTTGGGGAAGTTTTTCTGTCATTATATCTTCTAGTAGGTTTTCAATATTTTACTCTCTCTCTTCTTCTGGCACCCCCATAATTCGGATGTTGGTATACTTGAAGTCATCCCAGAGACTTCTTACACTATCTTCATATTTTTGGATTCTTTTTTCTTTTTGTTTTTCTGGTTGGGTGTTTTTTTCTTTCTCATATTTCAAATATTTGGTTTGATTCTTGAGGTCCTTTGGTCTACTGTTGAATTTCTATATATTATTCTTTATTTCAGACCATGTATGTTTAATTTCTGACTGGTCCTTTTCCTTTTTTTTTTTTTTTTTCATTCTCATTAAAATCCTTAAAGGTCTCAGTAAGTTCCTCAGTAGTTTTTAGAAGATTCTTGAGTAACCTTATAACTGTGATTTTGAACTCTATATTCAGTAGTTTGCTTTCCTCCATTTCTTTCATTTATGACATGTTTCTTTGTCTCCACATTTTGGCTGTATCCCTATGTTGATAATGAGTGGCTTTGTGTGGTAGGTGACCTATAGGGCTCAGTGGTTCAGCCTCCCCAATTACCTGATGTGGACACTCTTGGTATACCCCTTTGTGGGCTGAGTGTACCGTCTTGTTGTAGTTAAGCCTTGATTGCTGTTGGTACACTGGGAGGACCCGCTGTGTCTATAATGGAAGAACTGTTGTGCTAGAGATACCCTTATGGGGCAAGACTTGCTTCAGTGGGGCGTTGGTGCTCACTGAGTCTGCCTCTTGAGTGTGTCACTTATGGATGTAAGGGGTTGAAATCTGGTGTCGTCTCACACTGACCACTAGGTATACTGGCTCCTAGGTCTCCAAAGAGGTGCAGATCAGCTACTGTATAAGGCCACCCAACAGAAGCTACAGCAAGATCTGCAGATTTCTCCTCTTTGCTTGGAAGTTGGAAGTTTTGGAGCTGACCCAATTGCAATTTGTTAGGTTAAGCTGCGATAGGGTAGGCCATTCATTTGCAAAAGCCACTGCCCACAGCTTGGGTGGTTTGTAAATTGGGTGGGGCAGGGGTCTCAGGCAGTCACTAGGGCGTGGCAAACAGCGATGGCTGCCAATCAGCCCTCTCTGCGTCTCCATGTTTCCGTGTCCCTGCGCCCCATGCCCTAGCACAGTAACAATGATTCTTGAGCACACCTCTGCGATAGAGCCACCCTCACTATCCAACATGATGGCAGACAGTCCCGCTTCTCCCCGTAGGGGTCTGGTTTCCCAGAGTCTCGCCAGAAACTGGCGTTCAGAGCAGTCTGGAACTTGTATTTTCCTTTGGATTGAAAAAAAAACACAGCGTACCCAGTCGCCAGCCCAATTTTCATGCCTCCGTACCTCTGCTTTTCCACTCCTGTGCACATCCCACCCGGTCTCAATGCTCTTTTCTCTTTCCTTCTAGTATAACTTCTACTCAGCCAGCTTTCCTGTGGTTCTGGGTGGTAGATGTTTTGTCTTTTAGTTGTAATTTTGGTGTGGTGAGAGGCAGCACATACAGGTACATACCTTATTCCACCATCTTGGTTTCCCCATTAATGAATTATAAAGCCAACTTATTTCGTTCTCTCTGCAGTTTTTAGTGAAATAAAAGAGGGTAGTCCTGGCCAATGAGGTTTAGTTGGTTGGAGTGTCTTTCCGTGCACTGAAAGGCCGAGGGCTACCTGTCAGGGTACATAACTAGGTTTCAGCTTCAGTTCCCTGTTGGGGCATGTATGGGAGCAGCCCATCAATGTTTTTCTCTGACATCTCTCTCTCAGAGCTCCTTAAGAATAGAACATCCCCACCACTGTGACTCAGTGCTTGAGTGTCAACCTATGATCATGGTTTGATTCCCAGTCTGGGCACATACCTGGATTTTGGGTGCTATCCCCAGTGGGGGGCCTGCAGGAGCAATCAATCAATGATTCTCTCTCATCATTGATGTTTCTATCTCTCTCTCCCTTCCTCTCTGAAATCAATAAAAAAAATATTTTTTTAAAAAGAAGAATAGAACATTGCAGCTAAAATTGGCCAGTTGCATGAGTGGTCTGGGAGCCATTGGGAGGAGATTTAATGAAAATTAACAACAGAACTGTGCCATTTGACTTCTGTTTTAGTAATACATATCTATGAATATGTGTCTGGATCATAAAGTAAATGTTTCTTCAATAGGTCATGCTAAAATATTTTTTGAAAAACACTGCTCTTAGTATCTTGAATATGCAGTTAAGAACTCAAATTTTAGCTTCATTATATTCAATTGAAACTTGTTACTTTGAATGTTCTCAGGACATCAAACCTTCAGACATGATATATTAGATATAGAAAGAGAAGAGAGGCTTTGGATGATGAAGACTTCACCCCAGATGGAGAGAAATTCAGGTAAGAACCAAGCAAGTATGAGTTCCCGTAGTTAACTGTGATTCATCTGTATATGCATTTTTTGAACACTTACTAACTGCCAGGCACTATTACAGCTTTTGTAATGTGTGTGGTAAAGGCTTTACTCTGAGTTCAAAATGCATTTCTTAACTATGTTATGGTAGGAAAAACATGTAATTTGTGAAAAATGATTTAAATAGTATGCCAGATGGCCATCATTTTGTTTTAACTGGGTTTCATTCATGCAAAGAGGATGACCCATCCCCTTTCTGTCAGTATATATATCAGAGAACATCATATGTAGTAAAAAAAAAAATAAGCTGAACCATCCCAAGGTTCATTAGTTTTATATTGTGTGTCCTAAGTATGAAATATTGAATGTTTAAACAAAGCTTTCACTTGTCCATATCTCTGAATTATTTGTCTACATAGGCAAGAGCAATCAAAGTGAGTTGAGGACTGTTTTGGATAGAGGACTACATGAAGAGCTTTCCTGCTGGCAGATCTGGCATCAGACTATAAATAACTTAACCAGGTGTCAGGACCCCATGACAAATAGTTCTCCGTCCCCCTGTCAGGTTGGGGCAGGACTGACTACTCCAATTTCTGAAGATGAAAACTACTTACTCAATCATAAAATGGATGGTCCCAGTGACACTGGAAATCCAGAGTTTCAAACTTTGAGAGCCCAGGGTTTTTGGAGGAAAAGTTTCCTGACTGAGTCACGGGATTATCAGAATAGATATCAACAATATCCCATGAGCCGAGACCGGTTTGGCTCAATGGATAGAGCGTCGGCTTGGGGACTGAAGGGTCCCGGGTTCGATTCAGGTCAAGGGCACCCGGTCAAGGGCATGTACCTTGGTTGCGGGCACATCCCCAGTAGGGGGTGTGCAAGAGGCAGCTGATCGATGACTCTCTCTCATCGATGTTTCTAACTCTCTATCTCTCTTCCTTCCTCTCTGTACAAAATCAATAAAAATATATTTAAAAAAAACAATAAAAAAAAAAACAATATCCCATGAAAAGTAGATCCTGTCAGCATAAATGGGATGTCAACACCAGCAGTTGGGTATCACATCACCTTGATGATTGTGGAGTATGCAGAAGTGAAAAATCTTGTGCATACAATAATTATGAAAGAAACAGCATGAACATATCAACATTGGATTTAAATAATGTGATTCACGTGGGACAAAAACCCTTACCAGTGTAATGAGTGTAAAAAAATCTTCAGGGATCTCTCCACCTTGGATCTTCATCAGACAGTACACTCAACGGAGAAGTCGCATGTATGTAGTGAGTGTGTAAAAGGCTTCTGTTACAGATCAGCTCTTCATATTCAACAGAGACTTCACCTGGGAGAAAAGAGGTATAAGTGTGATAATGACTGTGATATGGAAGTCAGTCAAAGCTCACTTCTGCAAAATCATGAGAATGTCCACATGGTAGAGAAACCATTCAAATGTGAGGAATGTGGGAAAGGCTTCCGTCGTAGATCCGCTCTTACTACTCATTGTAAATTACACCTGGGAACGAAACCATATAATTGTGAGGACCGTGGGAGGGCCTTCAGTCAGGCCTCTCATCTTCAGGACCATCAGAGAGTCCACACCGGGGAGAAGCCATTCACGTGTGATGTGTGTGGTAAGAGCTTCAGTAGGAACTCACATCTTCAGTCCCACCAGAGAGCCCATACAGGAGAGAAACCATATAAATGTGAAGCGTGCGGGAAGGGCTTCATCTGCAGCTCCAATCTATACATTCATCAGCGGGGTCACACAGGAGAAAAACCCTACAGATGTGAGGAATGTGGTAAAGGCTTTACTCTGAGCTCCAATCTTCAAGCCCATCAGAGAGTCCACACTGGAGAGAAACCATACCAGTGCAATGAGTGTGGGAAGAGCTTCCGGAGGAACTCCCACTGTCAGGTTCATCTGGTGGTCCACACAGGGGAGAAACCCTATAAATGTGACATATGTGGGAAGGGCTTCAGTCAGAGTTCACATCTTCAAACCCACCAGAAGGCTCACAGTATAGAGAAGCCTTGTAAGTGTGAAGAGTGCGGGCAGGGCTTCAATCAGAGTTCACGACTTCAGGTTCACTGGCTGACCCATACCGGGGAGAAACCGTACAAATGTGAAGAATGTGGGAAGGGATTCAGTCGTAGAGCAGATCTTAAAATCCACTGTAGGATCCACACAGGAGAGAAGCCATATCATTGTGAGGAGTGTGGGAAGGTCTTCAGGCAGGCCTCAAATCTTCTGGCCCATCAGAGGGTCCACAGTGGGGAGAAGCCACTCAAATGCGATGAGTGTGGGAAGAGCTTTGGCCGGAGTTCACACCTTCAAGCCCATCAAAAAGTCCACACTGGAGAAAAGCCGTACAAGTGTGAGGAGTGTGGGAAGGGTTTAAAGTGGAGCTTGAATCTTGACCCATGCATCAGAGGGTCCACACAGGAGAGAAGCCATATATACAATAATTAGTGCGGGGAGTGTGGTAAGAACTTCAGTCAGGCCTCGAGTCTTCAGCTTCATCAGAGTGTCCACACTGGAGAGAAACCGTATAAATGTGATGCATGTGGAAAAGTCTTTAGTCGGGCTTCACAGCTGCAATCTCACCAGAGAATTCACACTGAGGAGAAACCTTATAAATGTGAAATATGTGGTAAGAGCTTCAGGTGGCGATCAAATCTTACAATTCATCAGAGAATCCATGCTGGTAATAAATCCTCTACAGGTGATCGTGCTGGTAAGAACATGAGAGGGTCCCCACAGATAAAATGTTTTATAAAGTGATTTAAAAAAAAAATAAACTCATGTGTCATGAATTCTTCCAGTCATCAAGTTCAAAAGAAATTTTATTTTTCATTAAATCAGTGTTTCAACCATAGTTTAACATATCCCAGGAGTCAGCAGGCTATGTAGCAAAGAAGAAAATGCTTGTAAGTGGTATAGTAAGGGCTTCAGTTAAAACATTGACCTTTATTAAATACTAGATGCCCGGTGTACAGATTCATGCACCCATGGGTTCCTCAGCCTGGCCTGCGCCCTCTCGCAATCCAGAACCCCACTGGAGCACAATCAGGGCTTAGGAGGGATCACAGGAGGGCTCCAGGGCATGTGCAGCCTGTCTCACCCAGTCATGATTGGCCAGACTCCAGGAGCAAGCTAATCTACCAGTTGGAGCATCTGCCCCTGGTGGTCAGTGTGCATCATAGCTACTGGTCAAATGGTTGCTTAGGCTTTTGTATATGTATAGACTAGAAGCTCAGTACATGAATTTGAGCTGGCCAGAGGGAGTGACAATTGGGCCAACTAGAGGGAGGGACTGTGGGAGGTTGTTTTTATGTATATAAACTAGAGACCCGGTGCATGAAATTTGTGCATGGTGGAGGAGGGTCCCCTTAGCCCAGCCTGCACCCTCTCCAATCGGGAACCCTTGGGGGAGGTCCAACTGCCGGTTTAGGCCAGTCCCTGGGATTGGCCTAAACTGGCAGTTGGACATCCCTCTCACAATCCTGGACCACTGGCTCCTAACCACTCACCTGCCTGCCTGCCTGATCGCCCCTAACTGCCCCCCTTGCCAGCCTGATCACCCCTAACTGCCCTCCCTGCCTGCCTGTTCACCCCTAACTGCCTGCCCTGCTGGCCTGATCACCCTACTGTGATTAGCTGTGCTCTCTCTCAGCCTCTCTCATCAAGTTGGGTCCTATTATCTTGAAGTCTGTCTAGTGTTCTCTTGTTTTTATACTGTATAAACTCAGTTATCCTTTGTGATAGTATACACTGACTGAATTAGTATACACAAGCCTACTAATAGAAAGGCTGCCAATATCCTACTTGATTTGAATAAGTGGAAAAGTTCTAGGTCTGGTGAACATAAATCTAACTTGAATCACCGTGAGAGTTGTGGATCCTCAGTCAATTTCATAACATGAGTCAGTGTTCATTTCTAGCACATCTTGAATAAGGGTCAAGTTGAGTCCCCTTGAGGAAGAACTCTGTTATACTTCCCAAACTATATACCATAAACCATCCTAGACTTCCTCAAAGTGACTTACATCCATATTTTATGGAGGGATGCACTGGGTAAGTAAAATAACTGGGATATAAAGATATTACTGGACACTAGAACTGACGTTTTTTGGAATCCCCCCAAATGGCACTGTAGTCCACCAGTTAGTAGAGGAGCTTATAAAAGACAAATAATGGATGTTTTTGCTCAGGTCACTGTGTAGTGGTCTGAACGGATCCCTGAACCCATCCTATGTTTGTTTCCCCAAGTTCCAGAATGCAGAGTTGCAATAGAAATATTCAACAACTGGAGAAATCCTCATATTAGTTCCCTGCCCCATAGAATAATGGCTATTTGGTAAGAAAGGACAAGTAAGCACTAGAACTGCCTCACATATATCAAAATAGAAAGCCAAAAGCAGTACCCAATTCTTAGAGGGGTTACAGAGATTAATGCCACTAACGGTATATCGGAAGTTGAAGTAGTCATGATTTCTATCTCATCCCCATTCAATACACTCACTTGACCTGTGCAGAATACAGGTGAATCTTGGATAATGACATGGGATTACTATAAACTTAATTAGGAATGGAGTCCAGTTGCAGCTCCAAATGTGGTTTTATTGCTGGAGCAAATCAACACGTCTGGTGGCACCTAATATACACCCATTAAGCCACCTTGTGCTTTTTTTCTCTGTACATATTAGTAAACATCAAAGAAGTTTAGTTTCATGTGCTAGGACCATCACTACACTTATATGGCCCCAGCTCAGGGCTACATTCCAATCTTCTTTTAGAATTTAATCCAGGAATCGGCAACTATAGTCCCTGGGTCAAATCTGGCCACCACTTATATTTGTAAATAAAATTGTATTGAAACAGCCATGACCACTATTGTTATGCAAAATGTCAGAACTAAGTAGTTGTGACAAATCATATAGTCTTTTACTTACTACCTGGCTCTTTACAGAACTAATTTTCTAAGCACAGCTGGTGTTGCTCAGTAGTTGAGCACTGACCCAAGAACCAAGCAGTCACCAATTCAACTCCCAGTTTAGTTTCATGCCCAGATTGTGGTGTGGTGTGCAAGAGGCAGCTGTTCCATGTTTCTATCTCTTCCTAAAATAAATAAAAACATCTATATAAAAGGCTAAACGACCATCTGACCATCAAACCATCCACTAGGTATAATGCGCACTAACCACTAAGGGGCAGATGCTCAACGCAGGAACTGCCAAGCTGCGGTGACTTGGCAGCTGTGGTTCTCGGGTGACACACCCCAGAATCAGAGAGGAGGGAGCTTGATTCTGGGGTGTGTCACCCAAGAACTGTCCTCTCACAATCCGGGACCCCTTGGTGTGCTGTTGGAGAGCTGATTTATTCCCAATCCCTACAGGCCAGGCTGAGGGACCCCACCTGCCAGAGGGACCCCACTCACTCTGCAAACGCCCTTCGAGCCATGGCACCACCCCAGGCTGGAGAGTGATTGCCAGAAGTTGGCTCCAGAGTCTGTCTGGCCTATTTCAACCAGCCCTGCCCTTCTAATTAATTTCCTTTCAATGTGCATGAATCTGTGCATCAGGGTACTAGTTTTTAATAAAAATTAAAAAAAAAAATTAGCCCTGGCTTGTTTGGCTCAGTGATTAGAGCATCACCCTGTATGCCAAAGGGTTGCGGGTTCGACTCCCACCACAGTAAAACAAAAGGCCAGAAAAAACTTGCTGGACACCAGGAGTCAGACCACACAGGGAACTGAAACTGTCCTAAAAACACCTGATCGCACACCTACATTCCATCCGAATTTCAAGCTCATCAACTCATTCCCTCAGCCCCACTGAGGACCATAGCTTTCTGCCAGCGACTGCATCTATATCTATATCTATATCTATATCTATATCTATATCTATATCTATATCTATATCTATATCTATCTATCTATCTATCTGTCTGTATATATATATATATATATATATATATATATATATATATATATATATATATATATATATATATGGCTAACTTGCAAAATGTCTCCTCTGGAGTTTGATAGGGAGACCAAGAGTTCAATCACTTGCTATGATGTGCACTGACCATCAGGGGGCGGCACGGAATGAAGGAAGGCCCCTGCCAGCAGCTGGAAGGCCCTGATTGGCCCTGATCACAGGGACTCTAGTATAAAGATGAACCAGCTCCTGGGTGCTGCCATCATGAACCCAATGTCCCCTTGGCTCAGTGCTGTGCAGGCTCTTTGCAGACTAATTTTCTAAGCACAGCTGGTGTTGCTCAGTAGTTCAGCACTGACCCAAGAACCAAGCAGTCACCAATTCAACCCGCAGTTTAGTTTCATGCCCAGATTGTGGTGTGGTGTGGTGTGCAAGAGGCACCTGTTCCATGCTTCTATCTCTTCCTAAAATAAATATAAACATTTATATAAAAGGCTATCCTTTGGATATCCCAATCCCTATCCTCTTTCCTTAAAGAAACTTGATTTTTCTTTTTCTTTCCTTTAAAAAAAAAATTACTGATTTTTTCACAAAGCGGAAGAGAGAGGGATAGTTAGAAACATCAAAGAGAGAGAAACATCTATCAGCTGCCTTCTGCACACCCCCTGCTGGGGATGTGCCCGCAACCAAGGTACATGCCCTTGACCAGAATAGAACCTGGGACCCTTCAATTCACAGGCAGATGCTCTATCCACTGAGCCAAACCGGTTAGGGCAAGAAGTTTGATTTTTCTTTATCCACTCTCTGAGATGGCTATTTAGCCTACCCACGCACGCACGCACCATCCGGCATATTAGCCATGCATAGTTTTTTTGTTCGTTTGTTTGTTTTTAAATATATTTTATTGATTTTGTACAGAGAGGAAGGGAGAAGGATAGAGAGTTAGAAACATCGATGAGAGAGTCATCGATCAGTTGCCTCTTGCACACCCCCTACTGGAGATGTGCCCGCAACCAAGGTACATGCCCTTGACCAGAATCGAACCTGGGACCTTTCAGTCCCCAAGCCGACGTTCTATCCATTGAGCCAAACCGGTTTCAGCCATGCATTGTTTTTTCAATGAGAAAAAGCTAAACTCTCCCGGCCTCAGCGAACTGCTTCAGGCCGGCAATATGGCGAGAAGCCATTAAAGGGATTTCTGGAAGTTGTAGACCGGGAACTCTGAGAGCTTGTTTGTTTGTTTGTTTGTTTGCTTTTTAATGGCACATAATGGGGAGGGGGGTGGGAGACTTCCATAACCCTCCTCTGGAGGTTCTGGGAAATGTATTCCCCAGCCCTGTCGGGAGACCACGGCCTTCTGGGAAATGTAGTTCCGGCGGAGCCGTGTAGTGGGAGGCACTTCCGGCGGGAAGGCAAGGTCACCCCTTCCGTGTTTTCCGTCCGGAGGTGAGCGTGGACCGGGGCTGCCCGGGCGGCGGTCTCGGGGCGGGGAGTCGGGGCAGCCCCGGAGGCGGAGAGGCTGAGGGCGGAGGCTCTCCTGCCCCGCGAACCGTCGGTAAGAAGCGGGGCGAGTTGTTCTGTCTGCGCCCTACGCCCCCCCTCTGGAGTAGACGGGGAGAGCACCGCCGGGGAGGCCTGTGATTAAGGAGACAAACGTGTCCGCCGCTCAGGCCTGGTGGCTTTGGTGGCGGTACAGGCCATTCCCTCCCAATGGAGGGAGAGCGAAGGCCGGGGCCCTTCTGTCCTCCCCGTCCGCCTCCTGCCGAACCCGAGTGAGTTTTCATCTGTTTCAGGAGCCGCGACTCTCCCCACGCGAGTGCCTGCACATGCCCTCCGGGGAGGCAGACCTGACCTCACAGCCCCCCTCAGCCTTTCCTTCACCCTGAATTCTGCAAGGAGGGGAGCAGGGGACTTCGGGGTCCCTCCCACCACACACCCAAGGACTTGCCTGGCCTGTCACCTCCGTTTTCAGTTAGAAAGTTTCCTTCACTCATCAGATTACAGCTAGGAAAACGTTCAGATATTTGTTGAATAAACCTGAGAATGCTCAGTTTGCTTCTTAATATGTACGTGTGTATTACTACCACACACATTTTAAAAATGCATTTGTATTTTAAATTAACTACGCCTCACATTTCTTTTGTTCTCTTGTCCTTAGTTTATTTTATTTGCTCTCAAGGGGTTTTGAAATCATGGGCTTGGGTTACTTTTTTAAAAATTTATTTTCTTTTGAAAAAATATTTTATTGCCGGGACCGGTTTGGCTCAGTGGATAGAGCGTCGGCCTGCGGACTGAAAGGTCCCGGGTTCAATTCTGGTCAAAGGCATGTTCCTTGGTTGCGGGCACATCCCCAGTGGGGGGTGTGCAAGAGGCAGCTGGTCGGTGTTTCTCATCGACGTTTCTAACTCTCTGTCCCTCTCAATTCCTCTCTGTGTAAAATCAATAAGATATATTTAAAAAATATATATATTTTATTGATTTTTTTTTTACAGTGAGAAAGGGAGAGGGATAGAGAGTTAGAAACATCAGTGAGAAACATCAAAACAGATCAACTGCCTCCTGCACATGGAGTCAAACCCGGGACCCTTCGGTCCACAGACGGATGCTCTGTCCACTGAGCTATTTAAAAAAATAATTTAAAAAAATTATCTCACTCTTACTAAAACTAAATTAGCATGGTTTTTCATTCTGAAAAATATAGAGTAAAAGTGTACTTAAAATTTGATGAGGCTGTCCACCACCACCTTTTTTTTAACTGTTGGCTGAGTTAAAAAGGTTATATATATATTTTTAAAAAATATATATTTTATTGATTTTTTACAGAGAGGAAGAGAGAGAAAAAAAATCATCAATGATGAGAATCATTGATTAGTTGCCTCCTGCACACCCCCTACGGGGGATCGGGCCCACAACTGGGGTATGTGCCCTTATGGAGAATTGAACCTCTTGGTTCATAGGTCGACGCTCAACCACTGAGCCACACCAGCCAGGCTCATGGCTTCTTTGTTCTTCCCCAGTTATGCCTTCTCAGGACTTTGACGTTCCCCGGAAGGAGCAGGAGAAAATGACCAGGTTTCAGGTAAGTAAGGCATTCCTTTCCGTCTCCTAAGATGTGATTTTGTTTCTCAGAGATTAGGCACATTTTTTTTCTCTTCCTTGGAAAGTTCATGGAAATCAACCAATCTTGAATGCATGTTGTGTGCCAGACTTGTATGTGTGAGTGTGTGTGTGTGTGTGTTGTTTTATTTTATCTTTATTATTTCACAAAATAATCTGAAAAAGATGATACAAATCTGAAATAGACAAAAACAATTTCCATTGTTACTATCCTGTTTTACAAACTAGCAGTTTTCACTTTCCCATATCCCTTTCTCACGTGCACTCATACATTTGCAAAATTAGAATTAACACGATATACTTGCACATATTAGATAAAGGCTTTCTATTGACAATTCTTATTAAGATTAGTAAGGTAAACTCAAAGCAATATGAACAAAAGAAATGAATAGAAGTGCCACACAAAAAGTAAAGTAAATTTTATGTAGAAAGTAATGATCACTAATAACTAAATGTGTGTAAATGTTAATAAAAACTTTACTTCACTTAGGTTGTCAAAATTTTTTTAAGGAATTAATGTCCTATTTGTCCAGAGTCTAGAGATTCAGACATTTGTATTCTCACATGAAAAGGGACTTGGGAAAACCTTTAGAGAGGGAAATCTGCTGTTTGCCATTCTGCTTTCAAATTTGTTACTTCATATTCTATGACTTTGCAGTCGCTACTTCTTAGCTAAGACCTCTGTAAAAGGATCTTTGCAGCATTGGTTATAAATAAAAAATCCGTAATTAATTATATATTTGTATTGATGAAAGGTAAATCATCACAACAGTCGCCACCAAAAAAAAATATCAAAAAACAAAGACCAATGGTCAGTTCTAAGGAATACTATACTCTGCAATCCCAAAATGGAATGGAAGAGTCTATAACGGTACCAGTTGTTCAAACTTATTTAGTATTCGTTATGTGCCAGGCATCATTTTAACTACTTTACATATATTCACTCATCTAATCCTTTCAAACGTCTTGCATTTTAGACACCATTGTAGAGAAGAGGAAGTGAAGATTGTTAGAAATTAAGGAATTCGTCCAATATCTTGTAATTAACACTTTGGCATTTGAACTCAGTCTGTTCCTTCATCAGCTGTGGCATATATCTTCAAAACACAGAGGAAGAGCTGTAAGCCATAGACTTTCTTGGAGGATTGCCGAAGGCCGGTGAACTTTGCAAACGTTAAAAACTGACAGAGCCCAAGATTTGTAGGGAGACAGGGAGAGGTCGTGAGAGAGGGAACTGCTGACTAGAAACTGTCTGGGGTCCTCCATCTCTGAAACCATTTTTGTGGTAACCCTCTTTAACTTGTCGATGCTGCTGCTTTCTGTGGGCCTTTTATGAAAGATTTAGGTGGAATGTGTTCGGTGCCGTAGGAGGCGGTGACCTTCCAGGACGTAGCTGTGGTCTTCACGGAGGAGGAGCTGAGGCTGCTGGACGCTGCCCAGAGGAAGCTGTACCGGGACGTGACGCTGGAGAACTTCCGGAACCTGGTCTCCGTGGGTGAGGACGCCTCCCTCTGACACTGAATCTCAGCCCCTTTGAGAGTCTCTGTGTCCTCAGTTGTTCAGAGCATTGGACGTTTTGAAATAGTTCCCTGATCTTGAAGACAGTTTTCCTAACCCCTGGGGTTACAGGCAAAGTTTGTTCTGGTCTTCCTGCTCAGGGAAAATCCTTGTCACCCTCCCTCTTCCACGCCCAAATACATTTGGCAATGTCTGGAGACAGTTTGGATTGTCATGACTGGGGGAGGGGCGCTAGCAATGCTGCTAAACCGCTTTCAATGCCCAGGACAACCCCACGGCAGAGAATTAGCCAGTCAAATGAATTATAAATGGGCAGCTTCACTTCTGTATTTGTCCTACGAGTACTTTGCCTTTCAAATTATGGTTGTGACTCATTGATAGGTCATGGAATCAACTTAGCACATTACACAGGGGTGGATAAAAGGAAGTGTACAACTGAGTGACATTCTTTTGATTTAAGGTTTTTCCATAGAAGCAAACTACATGTACTTTTGCCCACCCCTATACTGGCATTACTTTTTTCCCCATGAAATAGTTCCTGTCCTTATTCTATTTTATTCTATCAGTGTTCTTTATCAAGACCTGCCTGCTCACATTGAAGCCTATACTGTGTCCATTGGCAGTGAGTGGTGTGAGCATGTGAGAAATTCAATGGAAACAGACAATGGTTCAGTCTAATTTTAGCTATATACTAGAGGCTCAGTGCATGAAATTCGTGCACTTGGGAGGGAAGTTTCCCTCAGCCCGGCCTGCACCCTCTCTCAGTCCTCAGTCCGGGAGCCCTTGGGGGATGTCCGACTGCAGTGGAGGCAGGAGAGGCTCCCACTATTGCTGCTGTGCCCACCAGCCATGAGCCTGGCTCAGGACTTCTGACTGAGTGGCGCCCCCTGTGGGAGCACACTGACTACCGGGGGATAGCTCCTGTGTTGAGCATCTGCCCCCTGGTGGTCAGTGCGCATCATAGTGACTGACAGGTCTGCTGTTCTGTGGATTTGCGTATTAGCCTTTTATATATTATAGGATAGACATGAACCAGGTCATGACCTCATGACCTAAATTTCTTTATTATTATAGATCATGATAAAAAAAGTTGTTTAAAATACCACTTTACAGGTTCTGAGGATTATGGAATTTGAACATAAATATATTTTAGCTCTCTGCACATCTGAAATATATATATCTGCCTTTTCATGGGACATCTTCCCTTCAAACCAGGTAAGGCAACACAGTTGGAGGAAGAAGAAAACCTGTGGATGATGGAAAGAGAAACTCTAAGAAATGGGAATTCCAGCGAGCACCACATGGCTGTTCTGTCAGGTACCAGCGAATCTGCTCACTGCCTCTGCGATTACCATTCCTCTGGGAGTGCTGTCATCTCTCGCCTGGACTGTGACAATAGTCTCCACGCGAGCAGAAGGGATAGATGCAGAGGGTGAGGTCTCGGAGGGTTCCCTCCTGCTCCCTCTTATAAGACGCTTATGATTACTTTGGACCCATCCAGATAACCCAGGATAACCTCCCTCTCAAGAGCCTTAATTTAATCATATCTAAATATTAACCTGTTAACCAATCGGGACCTATAAATATGTTAAACATAAACAATATTGGGAACGGGTAGGACATATGAATACGTCCTTGAAATATATGTTGCGCCCTGAGAGGGATGGTATATATTTTTTGTAATCTTTATAATTGTTTGTAAAATTTATAATTTTTTAATTCAATGTTTCCATTTTTTTGTTGGTATTCTTTTCTATTTGTTTGTAATTTTGTATTTTCCTTTGTGCTTTATATATAAATAAATGAAAAAATATATATATTTCATTTATTTTAAGTATAAATAAAAAAATAATATAAAATTACGTCCACTGGGCGTGACATACTGACACTTCCTAGTGAAAGAGTATGCGCCTGTTGTACGGTGCGTAATTAAAAAGGGAACTCCCCGGTTAACAGGTTAACATATCCCCAGGTCCTAGGGATTAGGATGTGGACATCTTTGAGGGCCATTCAGTTAGCCAGCACTCCCAGAACTGTGCACATACCTGGTGAGACTTTTCTAGCCTGTATCATTAGAATCTAACTTTCCAATAAATTGTTAAGGATTTGGTACCCTTCTCCCCCACCTTAAACATTTTAAGCCAATGGCTTCTAACCATTTTTAGTCATGGCTTTCAATAAGAAATATTTTATGTCTTGACCCAGCATAAACATAATGTATGTGCATATTTACGTATGTGCCTGTAGCTGAAACAAGCATTTCACATAGTTGTGGTACCCTTAGCTTGTGATACACTTCTCATGTTTTTGTTCTATTTTAAATATTTGTCACAATTATGGAATCGGGTTCACAGTTCACTAATACCTCTCAGCAGTTTGAATAATTCTGTTGCAGCCATGATAAAGCAGTAAAGAAAACAACATGTTTTCCCTGTGACCATTCCATTCTAGTGGGTCTAGAGCGACAAGAAAAAATTAGGAAGTATATAGTCAATCAGGTAAGTGCTGTGTGGCAAAATAAAGCAGGAAAGGCAGATGGGAAGAATCAAAGGTGTATAGGGTGAGAAGGAATTATTTTTATTGCTGATAAGGAAGGCCTCACCCAATGGAGTGACAGTTGAGCTGAGACCTGAGGGAATGAGAAACAGCAGGGTACACAGCTCTCCCGAGAAAGCTTCCCAAGGCAGGAGCCCCCTCCCTCTTGTCAGGATTGCCTTTGAGAGTCTGCCCTGTGCCCTGTTTCTTTCCTTCTCCCAAATTCTTCCCACATTGTACCAGATTAGTTTTCCCTTTTCCACTTCTCACCGAGACCTGATTTACTGCCAGATTTAGAACAATGAATGTTACTCGTCCAACCATTTCCCAAATTTACTCTCAGAAAGTAATTTCTACCAGGACCTAAAATCCCATTGCATGCCTACAGTCTGAGCTTTTGTAGCCTCAAGAGGTAGAGTTTCACCACCTCATTAGGACTGCTGTGGACACGGTGAGCAGGCTTATATTGATGTCACTGAATGGGGATTGTCTTCGTTGCTCTGCAGCCACCTGATTCCATTCTTCATTCAGCTCAGGTGTTAAATGTTAGATTTATGGTTCTGAATGGGTCACCTTTACACTTAGTGTGTAAGCATCCGAGGACTCCATTCTTTGCTTCAATTACACGGGAAAGCAAGAAACGGACAAATGATGTTGTACAGAGTTGACCCTCCCCCTGATTTGTCCCATGATCTCAGGGTGAAATGCTGGCATTTCTGAGCAAAGTGTTCACTTTGGAATCCTGCTTTTTCTTACAGGCAGCAAGGATCAAAATGAGCTGGAGATTCTTCAGAAAGTTGCATTCAAGTACCTTTCACATGAAAAGCTCTTCTGGCAGATCTGGAAACAGATTGCAAGTGATTCAACCGAGTGCCTTCAGAGGGAGAGTTCCCAGTCCCCACAAGGCAGTTCTGAGCAGACCTCTGGGAGTGGGAGCAGTGCAGGGAATCATGAAGGAGGCGGCGCCTGTTGTGTTAAAAATCAAGACTGTGTCAGTGTCGAGGCTGCTCGTGAGAATGTACACCTGAGGGAGTCACAGAACCGGAATGCAGGTAAGCAAAGTCACGTGAAAGATAACCGGCATGCCTGTGAAGCCACGAGGAAACCGCTACTTAGTGATCATGTTAAATTTCACACAGAACCGAAACCCCGCAAATCTAATGGCTATGGTAACAGCATGAGCGATGGCGTCAGCCAGCATTCACCCTGCAGGCAGGAACTGCATCTCTGCAGCAAGTGTGGGAGGGGCCCGCTGCTTTCAAGTCCCCAGACTGCACACCCTGGGGGGAAATGCTTGGCTCAGAACTCACCCCCGCAGGCTCATCAGAGGACTCACCCAGGAGAGAAACGCAGTAAACGTCCTGACTCCAGAGATTGTGTCAGTAAGAGTTCCTTTCCTTCTCATTCTAATCCTGCAGGAGAAAAGTCCCACAGGTGTGACAGCTGTGGCAAGGGATTCAGTAGCAGCACAGGTCTCGCCATTCACTACAGAAGCCACACTGGAGAGAAACCTTATAAATGCGAAGAGTGCGGTAAATGCTTTAGCCAGAGCTCCAACTTCCAGTGCCACCAGAGAGTCCACACTGACGAAAAGCCATACAAATGCGAAGAGTGCGGCAAGGGCTTCGGCTGGAGTGTGAATCTTCGTGTTCATCAGCGGGTCCACCGGGGGGAGAAGCCCTATGTCTGTGAGGAGTGCGGGAAGGGCTTCACGCAGGCCGCCCATTTTCACATCCATCAGAGGGTCCACACTGGGGAGAAGCCTTACAAGTGTGATGTCTGCGGGAAGGGCTTCAGCCACAACTCCCCACTGATATGCCATCGGAGACTCCACACTGGGGAGAAACCCTACAAGTGTGAGGTGTGTGGGAAAGGCTTTACTCGCAACACAGATCTTCACATCCACGTTCGGGTTCACACAGGAGAGAAGCCCTACAGGTGTAAGGAGTGTGGGAAGGGCTTCAGTCAGGCTTCGAACCTTCAAGTCCATCAGAATGTCCACACTGGGGAGAAACGATTCAAATGTGAAACGTGTGGGAAGAGCTTTAGTCAGTCTTCAAAGCTCCAGACCCATCAGAGAGTCCACACCGGGGAGAAACCCTACAAATGCGATGTGTGTGGCAAGGGCTTCAGTTACAGTTCCAATCTGAAACTGCACCAAGTGATTCACACCGGAGAGAAACCGTACAAGTGCGAGGAGTGTGGGAAGGGCTTCAGTTGGAGATCAAATCTTCACGCTCATCAGAAAGTCCACTCGGGAGAGAAGCCTTATAAATGTAAGGAGTGTGATAAGAGCTTCAGCCAGTCCATAGATTTCCGGGTCCATCAGAGAGTCCACACTGGGGAGAAACCGTACACGTGTGGCGTGTGCGGGAAGGGCTTCAGTCAGTCCTCCGGCCTCCAGTCTCATCAGAGAGTGCACACGGGGGAGAAGCCGTACACATGTGATGTCTGCGGCAAGGGCTTCCGGTACAGCTCGCAGTTCATATACCATCAGAGGGGCCACACTGGGGAGAAGCCTTACAGATGTGAGGAGTGTGGGAAAGGTTTTGGGAGGAGCTTGAACCTTCGCCATCACCAGAGGGTGCACACTGGCGAGAAGCCCCACAAGTGTGAGGAGTGTGGGAAGTCCTTTAGCCTCCCCTCCAATCTCAGAGTCCATCTGAGTGTGCACCTGAGGGAGAAGCTCTTCAAATGTGAGGAGTGTGGGAAGGGCTTCAGCCAGAGTTCACGCCTTCAGGCCCACCTGAGAGTTCACACTGGAGAGAAGCCATACAAGTGTGACGTTTGTGGGAAGGACTTCAGTCACCGTTCACGTCTCTCGTACCATCAGAAAGCCCACTCCGGCAAGAATCCCTGAGAATGAGGAATGTGTTCGTGCCTTCGGTCAGGTTGTGCATCTAGTGTTTGGAGAGTCCGTGCTCGGGATAAAACCCTATAATGTATCGAGAGTGGAAAGGGGTTTCTTCACTTGGAATCTCATAAGTCCAGGAATAGGACTGATATTCAGGGGAGAAATGTGTTGTAACCCTCTTGGTAAAATCCAATCGATGTAAATGATCTTTCAAAATGAGTACAAGCCAAAAAAGAATGTGTGAAAAGGATATTTGCCATATACAAGGTAGTTTGGGGGCTAACAGGGAAGGTTTTGGATTATTTTCTCATGAACTTCCAATTTGTATGTACTTACAGTGACCATTATTTTTTTACTAAAGCTTAAAAGTTATGAAAAATGAATAAAGTAACTTAAAAAATTACCTGTAGTCAAGGACTCATAATATGAGTGCTTTATTTCATACAGTATATTGGATTAAAATTAGGAATATATCCCCAGAGATGAGTCTTTGTTCTTCCGAAGTGAATTTGTGTCTGCTGCAGATATATATATATATGAACATTAATTGCATTATTGATTATAAAAACACACATAGAAATAATCATTGTCAAAAGTGTTTTACAATTCATTGATCCAAAGGAACTCTATGCAAACATCAAATGGGAGAAGGTAAATTTGTAGTAAAAGATGTTGGATGACGTCCAGAATATATTCATTTGGACAACAAATCTTGGGATTTTCATTTGATCACATTTAATTTTTTTAAAAAAGGTATAGATGCATTAGGTAGATATTCTAGTTACCTCTAAATGGAATTTTGCATTTTTTTGTGTGTTCCAATAAAACTTTATTATGAATACTGAAATTTGAATTTAAAAAAATATATATATTTTATTGATTTTTCACAGAGAGGAAGGAAGAGGGATAGAGAGCTAGAAACGTCCATGAGAGAGAAACATCGACCAGCTGCCTCCTGCACAACCCCCACCGGGGATGTGCCCACAACCAAGGTACATGCCCTTGACCGGAATCGAACCTGGGACCTTTCAGTCCGCAGACCGACGCTCTATCCACTGAGCCAAACTGGTTTCGGCCAAAATTTGAATTTATTATATATTTTTAAGATGTCATGAATTATTCTTTTCATTTCCCCCCATCTGTTAAAAATGTAGAATCCATTCTTGGTTATTTTTGTGGGGTATTTTTGTTAATCCTCACCTGAGGATATTTTTTTCATTGATTTTTAGAGAAAATATGAGAAAAACATTGATGTGAGAAACACATGGATTGGCTGCCTCCTGCACATGCCCTGACTGGGGTCAGGGATTTAAACCTGAAACCAAGGTATGTGTCCTTGACTGGAAATTGAACCCACAACCCTTCATGCCAGAGCTGATGCTCTAACCACTGAGAACACCAGCCAGGGTATATAAACCATTCTTAGTTCATGGGCCATACTCAATGAGATGGCAGGCTGGATTTGACACACAAGCTATAGTTTGCCAACTTCTAATGTAGTTGATCATACTTAAAAAATTTTTTAAATTATAGTTTACATTCAGTATCACAGCAATACAGTATAGTGGTTAGACATAAAACTTAAGAAGTGATCCCCAATAATTCTAGTATCACCTGACACCATATGTAGTTATTAAAATACTGGAGGCTCAGTGTGCGAAATTGCGTGCAGTAGTCCGCCACTGCTGGCGGCACCACTCACCCACCTGCCGCTGCACACTGCACTGGCTGCCCTGCCCACCCACTGCCCACCTTGCTGCGATCAGAGCCTGTGGGTTGCGGGAGTGGGACTGAGAGGTGCTCAGTGCACCTCATGGTGATCAGTCTTGGTCATCCTGGTTGTCACAGACACTGGCTATCTATAGATTATTGACTATAGGAGAGGCCTAGTGCACAAAAATTGAGCTCTGGGGAGGGGGTGTCCCTCAGCCTGGCCTGTGTCCTCTTGCAGTCCGGGACCCCTTGCTCCTTAATGCCAGCCTGCTCGCTGCTCCTTAGTGCTGCTGCAGAGGCAGGAGAGGCTCCCACCACCATAGCTGTGCTTGCCAGCCATGACCCTGGCTTCTGAGTGGCATGCCCTCTGTGGGAGTGCACTGACCACTAGGGGGCAGCTCCTGCGTTGAGCCTCATGGGCTGGGCTTATTCATTTTTTTTTTTTAGAAAGAATAGTTTATGGTGGTTAAGCCCAGCCCATGTGCTCAGTGGTGGTCAGTGCGTATCATACTGTCTGGTCACTCTGGTCGTTCTGGTACGGTCGCATAGGCTTTTATTATTATATATAGATCCCCCATGCTGTACTTTATAGCCCCAAGACTACTTTGTAACTGCCATTTTGTACGTCTTCCACCCAGCTTCCCAACCCCTGCATTTCTTTAAACATTGATTTGAAATAATTTAAACCTTCCTGTAAAAATTATATAAAATCTCAAGCTCTTTATTAAGGATTACCCAATTGATAATGTGTTTGAGTCATTATTCGATGCAAGTGAATTTGTACATATATTGATACTTCTGTGTACATGCACATTTAAAAAACAAACTTCCCTTTCTCTTTTTTTTTGAAATTTACTTTTTGGTAGGTGATGGAATTAAAATCATCTTATGGGATCTTCAAGGTGTATATTGTCTCTGGCAGAATTTAATTATTCTTCATAGGAATATCTAGTTCTTCCTATGCCAGTTACCAAAATTTTTCCTCATTCCCATTACTTTGCAGTACCATGTTTAAAGAAAAGCAGTAATTTATATATAATTATAGTTCTGTTTTGGCTCTCAATTTTCTTTGATCTATTTTTCAATACTTTTACCAAAACCACAGTACTTCAGTTACTATAGCTTCACAATGAGTCTTTTTCTTTTTTTCTAAATTTTATTGATTTCAAAGAGGAAGGGAGAGAGAGATAGAAACACCAATGATGAGAGAGAATCGTTGATCAGCTGCCTCCTGCACACCCGCTACTGGGGATCAAGCCTGCATGTTCCCTGACGGTGAATTGAACCATGAACTCCTACTGAGTCATACCAGCCAGGCTTGCAATGAGTCTTGATATTTAGTAGAGGATGTATTTTTATCTTGTTCTCTTTTAGGATATCTTGGCAGCCAAACAGAATCACCCATAAACTATTCTTTCTGGAAAAACAAACAAACAAAAAACACACAAATAAGCCCAGCCCATGTGTCTCAGTGGCTTAGTATTCAATTCCTAATCAGGGCACATACCCAGGTTGTATGCTCGATCCCCATTAAGGGGTATGTAGAAGGTAGTGATTAATGATTCTATCATCATTGATGTTTCTATATCTCCTTTCTCTGAAATCAATAAAAAATATATATATATATTTTAAAAATGAATCAAATTGAGCCTCTAACTCTATTGTTTTATAGGTAATATGGAGAAATATTTGCAATAACATAAATGTAACTGGAGGGCATTATGTTAAGTGAAATAAGCAAGACAGAGAAAGACAAATACTGCCTAGTAGAATTACATGTGGAATCTAAGGGTGAGGCGGGGGGGGGGGGGGGGTGAGGGAGGGGAGAAGAGAGTCAAACTCATAGAAACAGTAAAATGGTGGTGGTTGCCTGGGGGATGCAGGAGGGGGTGGAGGAAGTGAGGTGCAAACCTTCAGTTATAAGATGATTAAGGTCTGAGGATCTAATGTATTCCATGTTGATTGCAGTTGAAATTTGCTGAGTAGATCGTAAAGGTTATACAACAAAGTTAGCAATGCGAGTTGATGGATGTGTATTTTATAAATAAAATAAATCTCAAAAAAAAAAGAGAAAGGGAAGTTTTTTTTTAAATGTGCATGTACACAGAAGTATCAATATATGTACAAATTCACTTGCATCTAATAATGACTCAAACACATTACCAATTGGGTAATCCTTAATAAAGAGCTTGAGATTTTATATAATTTTTACAGGAAGGTTTAAATTATTTCAAAACAACGTTTAAAGAAATGCAGGGGTTGGGACGCTGGGTGAAAGACGTACAAAATGGCAGTTACAAAGTAGTCTTGGGGCTGTAAAGTACAGCATGGGGATCTATATAATAAAAGCCTATGCGACCGTTACAGAACGAGCAGTGACCAGTCAGTATGATGCGCACTGACCACCACTGAGCACATGGGCTGGGCTTAACCACCATAAACTATTCTTTTTGAAAAAAAAAAGAATATATCAATATATCATATATCAATTCATAGCATACACTTTAACAAAAAAATTATTGATTGACTCTAGAGAGTGAGGGGAAGGCAGAGAAACATTGATTTGTTGCTCCACCCATTCATTGGTTGCTCCTTGTATGTGCCCTGACCAGAGATCAAATCTGCAACCTTGGTGTATCAGGGCAAAAACAACTGAGCTACCTGGCTGGAGACTAAATGTAGGGTGTCCCTCCAAAACGTATACACACACTTTGAATAATTACAAAGGCAGTGCTTATTAAAATAAATTCCATTTTCAAAATTGAGCTATCAGTGCTTGCTTCCGCAGCACCTATACTAACTTGGAACAATACAGAGAAGATTAGCATGGCCCCTGCGAAAGGATGACATGCAAATCTGTGAAGCGTTCCCTATTTAAAAAACAAATTGAGCTATTGGGTGTTAAAGTGTTAGGATACCTCTTTAAAAGTGCCCTAAAAAAGTTGAGTTTGTTAGTTACTTGAGTGTGACCCCATACATCCATACCTATTTTTTGAATAATCATGGCTCTTGTAGAAGAATAAAACATCCTATCGTATTTATGATGTCAAGAGCAGGCTGGATATAGATTATGAGACCTTTGATGGTGAGCTAAAGAAAGAAACATTTTCATATACATTTAGGCTTTTCCAACTTACAGCATTTCCTTCACTTTCTTGACTATCTTTTCTTTCACTTGCCAAAAAGTGAAATGATCTATTTCATTTAAAAATGAATATTTAAAACCAAGACACATGGGAAATTTTTGGTATTTGTTCTGTGGGGTGGTGAGAGGTCACTTTCCCTTTTTGTGTGCCCAGCATTTTCGAGTGAATAGCTCGCACAAGATAAACCGTCAGAGATTTAGGGGCATCTAGGAGCTACCAAACAGACTTTGACTTTAGAGATCCTTTAATTTTTGCCCTGTTCATCCACATTTACTTTTCAGTCACACTTATTAATACTGTGATTTTTTTTTTAAGTTGGAAAAAAGGAAAGGGGGGAAAAAAAGTCCAGCTCTCACAGTGCCTAAGAACTGACTGAACTGAACCATCTTAGGTATTTATTTTTATTTTATTTTTTTGGAAGTGGCAACCTAATAGAAGCGCTACCTCGTGGAGGATTCTGGGAAATGTAGTCCAGAGGCTCTGGGCTGTGCGATCCACTTCCGCTCTGGGAGGGAGGAGCTGCAGTGGGATGGGCGCGAGTCACCACGCTCTCCTAGGAGGTAGGTGAGTGAGTGGGTGGGTGGGTGGGTGGCGTGGGTTCCGTAGGTGCCCCCCTGGCTCTTGGGGAATGGAAGCGGCGGATGGCAGGTTCGCGCGTGGAGTTAGGGATCGGCCCGGTCGGGAACCTGTGTCTGCGTCTCCGGGCCGATTCCCTCGCCCCCTTGCTCTCGCTTACTCCCTACCTTTCCAGTTATAGGATCTTTGTAGAGTTATTGCTTTATCTGTTTCTCCTGGCCAGAGAGGAGCGGACAGCGGCGTCACCGGACAGGGACCGAGTTGACAGTACTGTCCCACCGGCTGGGCTCAGTCACCCCCCAGCCAGCCGGGGGTGGGGGGTGGGGAGGGGGGGGGTCTGGATTGGGTGTAGGTAAGATTTCACAGCAGGAATCCAGGCGATGCTCAGAGGCTATTTGTTAAAGCTGGGACAGGCGGCGTTCAGGAGAAAGAAAATAGCAAGTTCACCCGGGAGGAGCATGATCCAGAGAGAGCTGGGGCCGGCTTCCCTTATCTCCTGGGTTTTTATCTGCTTCCTGGCCGGACTTTTAGGGGAGGCCACAGGGGAGGATCTCAAAAACATATTCAGCCCTAACCGGTTTGGCTCAGTGGATAGAGTGTTGGCCTGCGGACCAAAGGGTCCCAGGTTCGATTCCGGTCAAGGGCATGTACTTGGTGGCCGACACATCCCTGGTGGGGAGTGTGCAGGAGGCAGCTGATCGATGTTTCTCTCTCATCGATGTTTCTATCTCTCTATCCCTCTACCTTCCTCTCTGTAATAAATCAATAAAAAATTAAAAACAAACAAACACCATATTCATCAGCTTTCCCAGGTGTGCACTTTCGTGGTCGTGGTCTCCACTGATAGGTCAGTGCTGGGCCTCGGGTCATTCATCATGGCAGCTGGCCCTGGCCTCCCTGGCCTGGAGCTGAAGTTACAACTGATGCCCTGATGTCCTCTCTAGAGAGGGAAAGTCAGGGGGGACGGCTACACTAATGACCAGCGATAGGAAACATCACCTGTGGCCAGGCCTGGCCCCAGTTTTCCCCGGGGCTTCCCACCGGTGTGACCTCTGTATCTGGCTGTAAATCACTCTGCCGGTTGGTTCAGTTATCTGTTTGTTTTCCCGTTCCACTTGCCAAGGAGTTTTCCTATCAGGAGGACCTCCCCAGAGGGCTCCTTGTAAGATTAGGGGAAAGTGAAAGATGTCAAAGTGCTTAGCAGCGATCCCAGTACAAGCTACTAGAGAGAGGGGCCTGGTTGCTATCAGTCTGTTATTTCTTTCTGAGAAGTGCTCAGTCCCTGAAGGCTTCGGTGCTGAGCCTGCGTGCGGTCTGAGCTCCAGCGCCAGCTCCAGCTCTGCTGGCCCCTGTCTGTCCACGGCGGGAAGCGAGGTGCTCCTGGATTGCTAAGGACTTCCCACTCCCCCATCCCGTCTGAAAGGAGGAAGTGGGTCCTCCCAGCTGGTGCCTGGAGGATGCCCTCTGTGACTCATCCTGGACCAGAGACACAATTGCAATATCTTCCAGCCTCTTTTCCTTCCTTCCTTCCTTCCTTCCTTCCTTCCTTCCTTCCTTCCTTCCTTCCTTCCTTCCTTCCTTCCTTCCTTCCTTCCTTCCTTTTTAAATATATTCTACTGATTTTCCACAGAGAAGAAGGGAGAGGAATAGAGAGCCAGAAACATCGATGAGAGAGAAACCGACCAGCTGCCTCCTACACCCCCCTCCCCCCATGGGATGTGCTTGCAACCAAGGTACATGCCCTTGACCAGAATCGAACCTGGGACCTTTCAGTCCGCAGGCCGACGCTCTATCCACTGAGCCAAACCGGTTTCGGCCCAGCCACCTTTCCTCTCTCAGCCTGACTTCTCAAAGAGGGTGCAGCGAGGAGGAGGGAGTGACCCCTGGCTTGCGGTAACATTGTCCCATCCTGGGAAAGTTTAACAAGCTGTGTGTCCTTTCTGCTCTCAGTAGGAAGCAGACTTCCTTTGCTCATTAGCACGTTTTCTCAATTGGGAAACATTTAATGAGTGAAGAGGAGCTTGGATGAGACAAGTGCTGATGAATGAGTAACAATATTTAACCTGTTGAGTGATCGTCTTCCATAGATTTTATTTGCTTTAATTAGTTTAATCTCATAACAAAGAATGCTGGTAGGTGGAGAGTTTAAGGGAACAGGGAAGACACAGAACTGAGAATGAGCCCAGGCAGCCTGGTGCTGGACCTTCCTGCCATCCTCCCCTTCAGCCCTAAGCAACGGTAATCCTGGGGACTGAGGGAGGGAGGATCATTGGAAATAATTTAGGACCTTAGGGCCCTTGAAGTCTGTGCTCATTTAATTAATTCCTGGTCCATGAAAATTTATGCACTGGAGGGGGTGTCCCTCAGCCCAGCCTGCCCCCTCTCACAGTCTGGGAGCCCTCAGGGGCAGGAGGCGACCTGGCAATAAGGGGAAGGCAATGCCCTATCACACCTCTGCTGCTGCTGCCACTGCCAGTAGCACAAGCCTCGGCCAGCCCTGGTTACCTGAGCCTTGGGCGGCCCTGGGTGGCTGGGCAGCCCCCATCTGAGGCTTGCCTGCACCTGGGGCTGGTCCTGGGCGGCTGGGGGCTGAGGGGACTGGGGGACTTCAGAGGCAAGCACTCGGAGCCTTGCTGTGTGCCTCCCTCCCCAGTGGGGCTGAGGGGACTGGGTGCTGCCATCTTTTGGCTGTGGGCGCCGCCATATTTGAGGGCAGGGCAGTCAATTAGCATAGTCTCTCCTTATTGGCTGTGGGTGCTGCCATCTTTGAGGGTGTGACAGTCAGTTAGCCATATTCCCTCTTTATTAGATAGGATTATAGTCATACTAGAGGCCTGGTGCCCGAAATTCATGAGTTGAGGGGGGGGGGGGTCCCTTAGCCCAGCCTGCACCCTCCAATCCAGGACCCTTCGGATATCCCTCTTGCAATCTGGCTCCTAACTGCTCGTCTGCCTGCCTGGGTGCCTGATTGCCCCTAACCGCCTCTGCCTGTTGGCCTTATTGCCCCCTAATTGTCCTCCCCTGCCAGCCTGATTGCCCCTAAGGCCTCTGCCTTGGCCCCTGTTACTGTAACTTTGTACAGAAGGATGTCTGGAATTAGCATATTACCCTTTTATTAGTATAGGTTCTTTAAAAAAAAAAAAAAAAATATATATATATATATATATATATATATATATATATATATATTATTGATTTTCCACAGAGAGGAAGGGAGAGGGATAGAGAGCTAGAAACGTCGATGAGACAGAAACATCGACCAGCTGCCTCCTGCACACCCCCTACCGGGGATGTGCCCATAATCAATGTACATATCCTGGACTGGAATCGAACCTGGGACCTTTCAGACTGCAGACCGACACCCTATCCAGTGAGTAAAACCGGTTTCAGCTAGATTCTGATTATTGAGTTAATTTGTGCTCATCGTAGAGAATTCGAGAAATAGCTGAAGGAAGCCAAACGCTACCTATGACCCCACCTGTAGAGATAACTATAAGGATGTTAATGTATTTCTCTTTACTTGTTTCTATGTCTGTATATATTCTCCAGGCTTCTCAACACTTGTATCACAGTTGTCGTCCTTGTGACAACTGTGATCATGAACCTTTTCAAACACAGGTGCAGAGACAATAATATACTGATGAGTATCATGTCTGAGCACAGTCTCCAGCTATAGCCAGCTTTTGTCCATCTTGTGATATAGCCCTCCCCCGTTTTCACATTTGCTTTGGTGTTTTATTGCCAACTCCAGACATGGAGTCCAGAGGGTGTATGTTGGATTATTATAAATATACGGAGGTCAAGGGAGAGGAGGCATGAAGGATTCCCACGTCCTCGCCTGGTAACCAGGAGCTACATTCTATAGTTATGTTTCCTACCTGCTTCCTCTAGTGTAGGGGTGTCGAACTCAATCAGAGAAGGGGCCAAAATCTAAAATCCAGCCTAAATCGCGGGCCGAATGGTTTACTGAACAGTCATAAACTGTCATTGTGATGGAAACGCAGCGGAGTGCAGTGATGACAGCGCGGTGCGGGCCACATTGCAAGGCCTGGAGGGACGGATTTGGCCCGCGGGCCTTGTGTTTGACACATGTGCTCTAGTGTGATATCAGCTTCATGGGTGGCAGGTGAGACAGCTAGGGTCCGGAGAGCGGCAG